ATAGAATCAAATTAGACATGGATGCCCCTCTAATGGACTCCAGTTACATATGGATCCACCTCTAAAAGAATCCTATTAGAGATGGTTCTTTCCCAATGGCATGCTATGAGAGATTGGTTAGAGATTGGTCCACTGCTAACAGAGTCTTATTACAAATGGATCCACCTCGAATGGAATCCTATTAAAGATGCATGCGCCTCTGATAGAGTCCGATTAGAGATGGATCCACCTCTAATGGAATCCTGGTGCGGATGGATCCATCTATAACAGAACCCTATGACAGATGGACCCACCTCTAATATAATCCTATTCCATATGGGTCCACTTCTGATAGAATCCTATTAGGGATGGGCCCGCCTACGCCTGATGGAGTCCTACAAGACATGGGTCCACTTCTAATAGAATACCAGTACAGAGGGATCCACCTCTAGTGGGATCGTATTACAAACGGACCCACCCCCAATTCAATCTTACCACTTATGGATCCACTTCTGACAGAATCGTAATACAGATTGGGTCCACCCCTAATAGAATCCTATTACGGATGGATTCGCATCTAATAGAGCCCTGTTACATATGGATAAATTTCTAATGGAACCCGACTACAGCTGGATCCACAACTAATGGAATCCTATTAGAGATGGGCCCACCTCAAATGAAAGCCTATTACAGATGGATCCACTTCAAATGGAACCCTAACAGGGATAGGTCAACCTCTAATAGGATCCTGCTACACATGGATCCATCCCGAATATAACCCCATTACAGATGGATCCACCTCTACTTGCATATTATTAGGGATGGGTCCACCTTTAGTAGAGTTGTATTAGAGATGGATCCACCTCAAATGGACACCTCTTGCATACGGATCCACCTCTGATGTAATTATTTTCGGCATGGATCCACTTCTAATCTAATCCTTTCAGGGATGGTCCACCTCTAATGGAACCCGATTAGAGATGTATTCACCTGTAAGGGAATTTTATCTGAGATGGATCCACCTCTAGTGGAGTCCTACTAGCGATTGTTCCACTTTTACGAGAATCCCATTACAGATGGATCCACCTCTAATAGAACCCGATGAAAGATGGATCCGCCTTTCATAGAATCCGAATAGCGATTGACCCACCATTTACATCCCCTCACTACAGAAGGTTTTCTTTTGTGGCGGATTACGAATTGATTCCTATTGTGGCGAAGTATATATTGATTCCTTTTGTGTTGGAACACACATAGAATCCTGTTGTGGCGAATTACAAATCAATTTTGTGTGTGGCGGATTTCAAATTGATTCCTTTTGTGGCGGATTTCAGATGGATTTCTTTTGTGGCGGATTACAAGTTGATTCCTTTTGTGGCGGATTACACATTCATTCCTTGTGTGGCGGATTACAAATAGATTCCTTTTGTGGCGGATTATAAATTGATTCTTTTTGTGGCGGACTACATATTAATTCCATTTGCGGCGGATTATAATTTGATTCCTTTCGTTGCGAATTACGTATTAATTCCTTTTGTGGTGGATTACAATTTGATTCCTTTTGTGGCGGATTACAAATTGATTCCTTTTGTGGCGGATTACAAATTGATTCTTCTTGTGGCGGGTTACAAATTGATCCCTTTTGCAATGGACTACGAATTCATTTCCTTTGTGGCGGATTACAAATTGATTTCTTTTGTGGCGGACTACAAAAGGATTCCTTTTGTGGCGAATTACACATTAATTCTTTTTGTGGCAAGCCCAGCTGATAGTGACCCAGGCCCCAAAAGAAAAAAAAGAAAAATAAATCATTGAACATTGGGAAAATTATACGACTCTCAATCGTTTTTGGTCCCAAACCACAAAAAAAAAGATTAAGGGTCGCATAATTCCCCAAATTGTCAATGATTTCTATTTCTCTTTTGGGACCTGGGTCACTACCAGCTGGGCTTGCCACAAAAGGAATTAAATTGTAATTCGGCACAAAAGGATTCTTTTTGTGATCCGCCATAGAAGCATTATTTTTGTAATCCGCCGCAAAGGGAGTCAATGTGTAGCTCACCACAAGAGGAATAAATTTGTAATCCGCCACAAAAGAAATCATTGTGTAAGCCGCTACAAAAGGAATCAATGTATAATCCGCCACAACAAGAATCAATTTGTACTCCGCCACAAAAGGAATCAATTTGTAATCTGCCACAAATGGAATCAATTCGTAATCCGCCACAAAGGGAACCAACGTGCAATCCGCAAAAAACGTATTTGAAAAATCTCCCAAACTTCTCCGCGAGCCCTTTTTCCAGGGGGCGGAGACAAAACCCTTGCCCCTCCCAACGTCCCCCTGCTCCCCGATTCCCTCACCCCCGCCCCTATTCCAACGACCTGTGCATTGTTCTTGGCATCGGTCGGACGTGTGCATTTCTCCTTCGGCGCGGACCATCGAGGAGTATCCTTGATGGTGGATGGATGGCCAGGTTCCGACCTTCTCCGAATGGAAGTCCGAGGGATGGCCAGGTTCCGGCTCCAGCAGCGTTTCGGGCAGACGAAACCACTGCTCGGGCACCCGCGCCAGCTGCTTGGAGGCAGTCGTGGAGCCCCACAGTCCATCCCCCTTCCCACCGCGCCCCTTCTCCCTCCCCTGCCTCCTTCCGCAGTGGTGGTCCTTCGTTCGTTCTCCTCTCGCTCTCCGCCCCCCCCCCTCCGCTGCCCTTGTCTTGGCATCGTTCGGGCGTGTGCATTCTTCCTTCGGCGAGGACCATGGAGGAGCGTCCTTCATCATTTGGCGAAAAAACCCAATGACGAAACCGAAAAAAACACAGGGAAGGGACGTCCGAGCGATGGCCAGTTGCTCCCCTTCTGGAACAAACGCTCCTCCTCCTCCTCCTCCTCCTCCTCCTCCTCCTCCTCCTCCTCCTCCTCCTCCTCCTCCTCCTCCTCCCCCCCCTCCGCTGCCCTTGTTCCCCTTCTGGAACAGATGCTCCTCCCCGCCAAAAAGCTCCACGGCCTCCGCGCCTCTTCCCTGGGAGGCACGGGCGAGCTCCCTGGGAGGGGCGCGCACGCCTCGGGCGTTCGCGTCGCCTCGCTTCTCCCCGCTGCCCCTCCTATCTACCATTATGTCGGGCCTGTCCCCCTGCAGGGGGATTTTCGACGAAAAACAAAGAATACCCCCAAAATAGTCCAAACATAGTCCAAACATAGCCTGGGGATTTTTTTTTGATTATTTGTTGTCCTTTTTGGAGAATTTGGGGGGTATTTCCCTACCTAGGCTCTGCCTAGAAGGGTTCTTACTCGGTATGCTTAAAGGGCCGGGCAGTGGAACCCGCCCCGGGCGGTTCCCCCGGCATCCGCCCCGCGGTTCCTTCAGTGACGTTCCCTTAGCTTAGCGTTGCTTATCTCATCTTAGCTTAGCGTATTTCATCTTAGCTTAGCTTAGCTTCATCTTAGCTCAGGTGTATTCCCTACCTAGGCTCTGCTTAGAAGGGTTCTTACCGTGTTGGCTTAAAGGGCCGGGCAGTGTTCCACGCCCCGGGCGGCCCCAGTGACGTTCCCTTAGCTTAGCGTTGCTTATCTCATCTTAGCTTAGTTTATTTCATCTTAGCTTAGCTTAGCTTAACGTATCTCATATTAACTTAGCTTAGCTTAGCTTAGCTTAGCGTTGCCTAGCCTAGCTTATCTTAGCTTAGCTTAGCTTACTTAGCTTAGCTTAGCTTAGCTCAGCTTAGCTTAACTTAGCTTATGTCGTATTAGCTTAGCTTAGTTTAGCTTAGCTTTGTGTAGCCTAGTTTAGCTTGGCTTAGCTTAGTTTAGCTTAGTTGATTCACATAGCTTAGTTTATCTCATATTAGCTTAGCTTAGCTCAGCTTAGGTGTAGATGTAGGTGTAGATGTAGGTGTAGATGTAGGTGTAGATGTAGATGTAGATGTAGATGTAGATGTAGATGTGAGTCTCGCTGTTGATGTTGATGTAGATGCAGATGCAGGTGTAGACGTAATTGTAGCTGTCGGTGTAGATGTGGATGCTGCTTTCCTAAATGCTCCAACTCCTAGGTAGGGTCGCACTGGGATAGTTTTTCTTTGTCGTCGAAATTCCCCCTGTACGGGGACAGGCCCGACTTAAATCTACCATGGGGGCGACGGGTCCTGGACCCCGGGGCCTTCTCCCAGGACGAGATCTCCATCCTGCGTCGTTTTCTGATACAGTCGGCCCGGATTAGTATCGGGGGCGGCAAAGAGGGGGGTGATGACTAGGGGGGGGCTGGATATCATGGCGGGGGCCATGATATTTCCCCAGATTTCAGGGCGCCTCTTCTCATTCCATGACGTCCCCGGCCCCCCCCTGCTGGGCCGCGCACATGCCGCCGGTCATGATTTGCACCCCCCCTCTTGGACACCCCCCTCTTGGCCGCTCCCGATGCCCCTCCTATCTACCATGGGGGCGACGGGTCCTGGACCCTGGGGCCTTCCCCCAGGACAAAATCTCCATCCTGCGTCGTTTTCTGATACAGTCGGCCCGGATTAGCAGGTCGACCCTGCCAGCTCCCCCTTGCTTGTGTCCTGTGCCTCGCGACGCGTGCCTTCTTACACTCCTGTGCCGATGCGGCCCTCAGAAGGGTCTTGTTTCCTCTCGCGTGTCCTGTCCAGCCAAGTCCGACTGCAGTCCCAGGGCCCGTGGGGTGCCCCAGGAGCCCGAAAGCGGCGAAGAGCCTCAGGACCCGCTTCCCCCACGGCGATCGCTCCCCCCCGCCGCTGCCCCCTCTCATCCCGCCCCCGCTCGACGCCCCCCCCCCTCAGCCAAGGATCGCAGGCCTAGAGGTTGACACCAACACCAAGATCGGCGGTGCGCCTCCACCGAGGGACGAAGATCCCGATCTCGGTGATGGTGGTAATATTCTGGCTTCCAAGGTGGCCGAAATATTGCCACCAACACCGAAATCGAGGATCATCTTCCCCCTGTGGAGGCCATCCCCTGTGTTGGTGCTGGTGCCCACTTCCAGGCCTCCAAAAGGAGGGGCGCGCCGGCAGGTACGGGTCCCCGGCCGACTTCGCCAAGGCCATCGACGCCGTCTCCGAGGCCCAGGCGTGCCGGCGCGCGCCCCCGCGATCTCTGGCGGCGGGCGCCGGCCTCCCGCCGAGCGCGCCCCCCGGGCCCCGCCGGCGGGCTGTCCGGACCTCCTCGGGCGGGCGGGGATCGGCCGTTTGCGCGTGTGTCGGCATGCAGGGAGCGGGTCCTCGAGGGGAGCGGGTCCTGAGGTGTTTTTGGCCGTTCTCGGACCCTCGGGGCCCTCCACGGGCCCCGGGACGGTCGGGAAGCGAGGCAGGAGGAGGAACCAGTGGTCCTGGGAAGTCCCCCTGTAGTGGGACAGGCCCGACTCAACGTTACTCCCACGCCAAGCGCAAGAGCGGCTTTTCGCTGGAGTGACCTGTTGGCGCGGGCTTGGCCAGGGGTGGTGTGTGTGTGTGCGTGTGTGTGTGTGTGAATGTGTGTGCCTGCGTGCGTGTGAATGTGTGTGCGTGTGTGTGTGTGTGTGTGCGTGTGCGTACGTGTGCGTGTGCGTGCGTGCGTGCGTGCTTGCGTGCGTGTGGGCGTGTGGGCGTGTGGGCGTGTGGGCGTATGCCTGCGCGCGCGCGCGTGTGTGTGTGTGTGTGTGTGTGACCGTGCGTGTGCGTGTGCGTGTGCGTGTGCGTGTGCGTGTGCGTGTGCGTGTGTGTGTGTGTGTGTGTGTGTGTGTGTGTGTGTGTGTGTGTGTGTGTGTGTGTGTGTGTGTGTGTGTGTGTGTGTGTGTGTGTGTGTGCGGGTGTTTGTGTGTACGTATTGTATGTGTATAGATGTATATAGTTATGTATGCATGTCTGTTTGTATGTGTTTATGTACGTATGCGTGTATGTTTGTATGTACGTATGGATGCATGTATGTGCATATATGTATATGTACATGTATACGTTCTGTCTGCTTGTCTGCCTGTCTGTCTTTCTGTCTGCCTGTCTGCCTGTCTGTCAGTGTGTGTGTGTGCTTGTGTTTGGGGGAGTGGCGCGGCTCCAGCGAATTCCCTTTCTTGGTCCTCTCTTGTGTCACTCCGTCCGACTCCTTTCACACCGCCTCCCTTGGGGGCAGCAGTAATATTCAACATCGCCCTCCCTTTGGGATATATTCCACATGCCGTTTTGCTCCACATATTCCGTGTCATCCATGCCACCCGTTGTTACAACGCCACTTTTTTCAACCGCGCAACCCAATCCTCATAACCATCTACCATCTACCATGGGGTAACTTCAAAGTACTCTTTTACTCGGCAGCTTCTGTTTCCCCTACACCACCCGCTGTTCCACGGCCTTCGCCCCACCCACACCACCCAATACTCGAAACGGCCCTTGTTGGGGGAAGCTTAATAAGCAGTTGTTGTTCCCCGAAGCCCCGCTTGTCGCCACAACCCTTCGGAATTGCCGCGCGACCAGTGTGTCCATAGTTATCTCCTGTGAGCGAGGGGGGAGGCGCATCGGAGCTACATCTGATGCTGACGATGTGAAAGGTTGTCGCGCAGCCGCTCCCCCGTTATGTCAGGAAATGTTGCCTCCACCACCACTGAACATCGCGAGGCTGCGCCGTTTTCGCCCCGCCCGTGGCTGTCCCGACCAGGTGACCGCTGCCGCGAAGAAGCTCCTGTCATCGAAGCCTACTGTGGCGGCATTCGGCGACACGCACACGGTCCCCCACTACTCGGCAGTGGAGGCCGCAGGGGTGCGGCGTGCTCGGAATGGCTGGCTTCAGAATTCGCCACATGGCGAGGAGTGGGAGGAGGAGGAGGAGGAGGAGCAGCAGCAGCAGCAGCAGTGGTGGAGAAGTGTCAGAGGAACAAGTCGAGTAGGAAGAGGAGGATGAGGCATTTTTAGCGTTCTTCGCAGGAATCTATACCCACACCGCCGAGTACTAGATTTTCGGAGGCGGAGAGAGCATGAGGGACGAACAGTACGGGGCAGAAGTCGGAGCAGGAAGCGGGTCGGCGCAGCGGCGTCGAGCGCGAGAACCCAGCACGGCAGGAGGGCTGGAGAGCACGTGATACAGTCAATAGCTTGGAAGAGAGATCACTTTGGTTTCGGAAAGCGCTTGGGACCCCTTGTGCTTTAGACGCGTTTTCCTCGGGCGCGCCGCGAAAATCTCCGCGCAGCTGGGGGATCCCATGTGCTTTCAATGTTTTTTCCTCGGGCGCTCCTCGAAAATCTCCGCGCAGCTGGGGCCAAAAGGGGCTCGTTACCTACTGAAGGCTTCTTGTGGCGGGGTTCTGCTTTCAGTGTGCACTCAGCTGCGAGCTGACCAATTTCTAGATGACCCCATACAGGGCAGGACCGATAAACAAGGGCGCCCACGAGGGCGCGAAGTTCTGCGCGCTGCGTGGTTCGGCTCCGATGCCTCCTCGTCCTCCCCGTCTCCCCCAGGGGGCGGCGCGACAGCGCGAAGTTTTTCGCGCTTCGCGCAGCGCGAGAGCGCGAAGTCAGGCGCCCTTGGACAGAGGCCTGGCCTCCTGCAGGCCCAGAGCAGCGATGGGGCTCTCGGGCGAGGCAGGGCGAGGCTGGTGATCCTTGTCTCATCCATCGTTCTGCCGATCGGCGCGGGCCCCCGCACCCCCAGTGGAGTGGCCCCCTCGTCGGCCCAGGTCGTCCTTTTTCAGGAGGGAAAAAACACGCAGACACAATTCGTCGTCGATTCCCCAGAAAATATAAGAAAATATGCACAGTGGGGGGGAAGACGAACATCCAGAAAATATGGGGAAATATCGGGAGTATTTTTATTTGTGTGTATTTATTCGTGTGTCCCGGGGCCCCTTCACTTTTCCCCTCCAGCGGGGACCTCCCAGGAGCTGCCCCCCACGACGCGGGACGGCACGTGCGCGCCGCTCCTCCGCGCGGCGGGCCGGCGCGGGGCGCGGGCGGTCAAGGCGGAGCACCCCCACGGGGGGGGGCCCGCCTCGGCCCCCGGGGGGCCCACGGGAAGCAGCCACGGCCCGACATCCATAGCGATCGTTGCTTCGCTCACTGTTTTGCCGATCGGGCGGCCCGGCAGCTGCCATGCGCACTGTCTTGGCTTTGAGTAACACAAAGCTGCGTGTGTAAGTTGGGTGGGTTTGCGTGTTTGTTTTATATGTTGTGTTTATTGTGTTTATTGTATTTTGTTATTATTTATTGCATGTTTCTCGCCGACGGGGCTGGCCGCGCCGGCACACTCAGGTGCGAACTCTTCACCTCTGAGTGGCCTTCTCTTCTCCTCCCCCCCCGCGGCCGGCTGCCTGCCCTCTTCTCCCACTTGCATGCTGGCCGATTCGCTGTTCGGCGCCCCCGTCTGGCTCTTTCGCTGGTGTAGCCGACTCTGCCTCGCCGCCGACGGAACAACATTTTGCAGATCGGCGCGGGCCCTCGTTCGGTGGCAAGTTATTCAGGTGGGGAAAAAACACACAGACACAATTAATCGTCGATTCCCCACAAAATATGGGAACATATGGACAGTGGGGGGGAAGACGAAAACCTAACAAATATGGGAAAATATGGGGATTATGTTATTTGTGTGTATTTATTTGTGTGTCCCAGGGCCCCTTCAGTTATGGGAACCTGGTATACCCCCATCAATTCCGTCTTTCGCGTCGGCTGGCGTCGAGTAGCGTTTGGGAGTGGATGAGACAGCGCCGATTTAGCGACGGCTAGCGTTGATTTAGCGTCGATCCGCGTCGATTAAGCATCCACTCACTAGCGTCGATTCGCAAGAGCCGACAAGATGGTACGGGAGGCTCGCATGAGTTGCCACCGAACAGAGCAAGCAGCTGCGGCCCGATGTCCATAGTGTCAGTTTTCTTGTTCGTTGTTTTGCCCGCGCGAAGTGAACCCCACCCTCCCCCTCAGAAATCGTGGGGGGTAGGGGTAGGGTTCGCATGCGGCCCTCTAATAGGACGCACTGTTGCAAGCAGTCGCATGGAACAGAGGTTCGGAGCCAGACCCCCCCCCCTTCCGCCGAATGTCGAAACGCCGAAGAACAAGACAACGCTCACATGCGAGAACGCGTGGTCGACAGCAGATAAGAAGCGGAGATCGTTCAAGAATTCAAGATTGAACGCTGCATGCGGTGTCAAGAAATCAGGGCCTGGCTCGTCAATGCAGCGGTTTGCCACATCTTTGTTCACCTCGGTCAGTTCGGAAGCTCCAGCCGACCAGGTGATTGTGCAGCCAAAACATGTGTAGACGTGCAGCGGCACGTGTTTCAAGGCTTCTGGCCAATGTCGCGAGGTCTGTTGGCAATAGCACAGTTACGTGTTCTGGAAACTGAGAGCGGATCGATGAGACAAGGGTGGCCCAGTGGTGTCAGGTGGTCGGTTGATGCGGTTGATGCATTGTGCTCATCGACTTCCTGGCGTTTGCCAGAAGCAGTCACAAGTGCTTCATTCGTTTTTTGTCAGTTGATTCAACTCAGAGTAGAAGAGTCTTGAATGCGTGGTTGCGCCTGTTCGAATGTCTCGGTCAAATCGCTTCGTGGGATGCTCATGCTAACCAGACGGCTTGACCAGTGTGGCAACAAGCAGTTCTTTAAATCAACGGCAAGGACGGGGTAGTAAGCAACAAGTGCGGGCAAACGACGAGAAGCGTTCCTATGTGCTTGTGTTGCCAAACGGGCTCCAGCTTTGAACCGATTCTCGGCCCCGGATATTTGGACGTCAACTGGAGACTCGACTCGGCAGGGTTTCTGGCTGCTGTCTTGCAGCATTGGCCTAGAGGGCCTGATTTGAACGAACACGGCAGTACGCGCGTTCCAGGGCCCTCTTCGGGCCATTAGCTCTGGCTAAGCTGCTGTTTCCTCCAGATTCGATTTGGCGCGATGTGGCTGCTCTGGAGACCCCAAGGCCCTTGGGCCAAGGGCTCCGCATATTTTAGCATCAGAGGTTGGAGACTCTGTGACCACCTCTGGCCACCTCTAGTCATCCTGAGGTCGTCTTGTGGGCTCTGAAAAGCGCACTGGAGGCAGCGTGACGAAAGAGGCCAACTTGGACCGTTTTGCGCAATCTGGAGGCCATCTTGGTCATGTTGGGCGCTTCAGCCCCTGGCGAAACCTTCGTCCAGACCCTTGGGCATGGATTGTGAGGGGGCCAGCCCATCCAGTCGTCGGGCTGCCACGGGACTGGGGTGTCAGAGGCCCAAGATTGTCTGGGGTGGCTCCAATGACGGTCCAAGGTGAGATTGATTCGAAGCCTACGCAGGAATATGCAAGACAGGGCGATACATAACATAACAACACAACATGCTGTTGTTCCGTCGCGGCGCAGCACGCTCGCGCGCGCTCTAGCAGCTGGGACAGAGCGTATTTGTTGTCCAGCGGCAGGAGACAGAAACAGGGCGGAGGGCGGCCAGGGAGCGAGGGAAAGGAGGAGGGCATTCTGTTTGGTCGCAGCCGCAGGCGAGAGCGCAAGCGGCGAGTCGTAAGTCCGGGGCGCGGGCCTACTAATTAAGACAGGAGCAAGCTAGAGCGGCGTAACTTAAACAACTAGCAGCCTAAGCGTCGCCTCAGGCGGAGCGACAGAATTCACGGCGCGACAGAATTTCGGCGTGAGCGACCAGTGCGGCCAGCCGCTGTTGGGGCGCCCTGGCAGTGGACGTGGACGTGGCATCGCGCCCACGCCCAGGGGCTGCGGCAAAGTCTGCAGGCGCTGGAGGCGTACAGCAAGTAGACCAGTGCGGGGGAAGAGGCCAGCCCTTAGTGGGCCCTGGAAACGACAGGGCCGTTTTTTTACCGGTTCCGTTTTACCGTTTTTTCGCCGGTTCCGACGCCGTTTTTTTACCGGTTCCGTCGCCGTTTTTTGAGCAGTTCCGGCTCCGGTTCCAATCCTGGAGCCGTTTTTTTGCCGTTTCCGGTCGCCGTTTTTTTGCCGTTTCCATTTTCAAGGGACATTTTTTGGGAAACGGTAAAAAAACGGCCCTGCCGTTTTCGGGGCCCACAAAGGGCTAGCGCAATATGAAAGCACCTGGGTGTTCGCCAATCGTCAAAAGACCCATACTGCCAGGCGTTCCAGCGCACAGCGGCCGCGCGGTGCAAGGGGCCAGGACCGGGGCTGGCCAATGAGCGGCTCGCGGCAGCAAAGTGTCGCGACCCCCAGAGCTGAGCTACCGAGGCTGGCCTGCAAGACCTGCGGCAGGTTGGGGGCTGTGGCCCGCGGAGGGCGACAACACAAGGCTGCACAGGGAGCCAACTGCAGAACGTAGAGGCAGCGTGCGTTGCAGGAGCGAGCGCACGTCGCATGGCGTACACCGAATCCCCTGACATTTTGCCAGACTGCACGTTGCCCGAGCTTCCCTGGGTGCCCTCAGCCTGTCAGCCTCACCGCGCTGCACAGCAGCTGCTTTGTGAGCTGGCCCGGCCGGCCTGCGGCGCGCCCACTAGCAAATTAGGCCCGTTTCCGCGCCCCGGACCGCTTCAGACTCCGCCTGCGCCTTCGCTTGCGGACGCGACCGAGAAAAATGTTGCAGGAACGAGCGCACATCGCCAGAAGGACAAAACAAAACACCGCACGACTCGATTTAGGGCCCATGGCTTCCAAGTTGGGCCGGACGAGGAAGCCCGAAGGGGTTCCGAAATAACGCGACCAGAGTGCATGCTGGTTGTCGCTGTGTGACACCAGCTATGCGACACCAGTGTTGGACCACGACGACTTTAAGCCATCGCTGCAGAAGTGGGACGCGATTCAGGGTGGTTTGGGCAGCTTCGTAGGAACCGCATTCGTGTAGAAGTAGCATCATGGGCAAGACGGCCCAATTCGATATGGTATTGTTTTCCCCATAGGGGTTCTTGAGTCGCTGGAGTCATATCGCGAGCCAAGTGGTCGTTTGATGTTCGGCCGTTTTGACCTCCGATACGAGACCCCTCAAACAACGTTGCGGTACTGCAAGAAAGCACAAATGCCACTGCCCACATTGAATCTACCGAGTGTCAGCTTCGAGGTAACATTGTGGCAATGTTGGGCTCCAGAACTGGCCCAAAACGGTTCCAGAAACGCAGCCCGAAAACAGTGACATGTTCATGTTCGATGCTTTGCCCATTGGACGCTCGAAGACGGCCTTGTTGGCCCCAAGACGGCCCTAAAGACCCCCCACAGCCCTTCAAGTTGTGACCTGGTCGTGGAAGGTCGAGTCGTGGTTTGCGGCAGGGTGGCTCCGAATGGCCTTCAGGAGGCCCTATCTGGCCCCCAAGAAGCCTTCCAGAGCCCCCCTGAATGACCGCACGGGAGGTTTCGAATAACATGCTTCAAAGCTTTAAAATTAAGTCGGGCATGTCCTTCTACAGGAGGAATCTTCAAAAATATTCCAGAAATCGTCAGGCGACGACGTTTCGATAATGTTTGACTATGTTTGACTATTGTTTGACTAATTTGTATTTCTCGTCCAAAATCCGCCTGTAGGAGGACATGCCCGACCTAACTTTACAGCGGCAGCACATCCATCCCGGAAGGCATACAAACACAGATGTGAGTAACCAGGCGGCGATCCCGAGAGGGCACCGCAAAGGCCCCGAGACGAGTTGTGTTTTGTATAGTCGGTTCCATTTCGGCTCGATTTCGGTAGCTTCGAGATCCCATTTGACGGCCAATCGGGCGCACACGTACTTATGTACCCGATCCATCCACGGTGGTATTCTCAAGTTTGCTTATGTACACACATACACGCGCACGTGAACACATCTGTAAGACCCAGATAAGCTTCATAGAGTTCAAGTGGTGGCCTGAGTAAATCCGTGAAGCGAGTTTCGCGGCGCAGTGAGATATCAGCAGCGAGTGAAACAATTATTGCCATCATCGATTTGACAAGTGCCGCGACTTCCGTTGGAGCTCACCGAACATTATCTCCACACATTGCGCCAGCCGTGGGCAAGCTAGGGGGGAAGTGTTCAGAGGGGCAAGAGTTAGCGCTCCTGACTACCTGTGCCCACAGAAGGCTGTTGGGACATGATTCGGCGAGGCTCACATGCCCAACATTGCACTTTCTCTTCATCCTGTCCCCTGGGCTTCTCCTCTGACTTCCTCCCTTCTCCCTCCTCCTTCCTCCCTGCTCAAGGATCATATGCAATCACTCGGCCCGTGACTGGGCGAAGTGATCGTATACCATGTTTGATCGGTTTTTGGGTTTGGCATCTAGCTGGCGCTCACCCTCTTCTCCCCCCCTCCCCCCTCCTCCACTCCAACCGCCTTTCCTCTCGTCTCCCCGTCCTCAGAGCTGGCCGCCGCCGCCGCCGAAGCGGGCTCAGGCGGCGCTGAAGGCGTAGCCGTGAGCCTCGACGACCCGCGCGGGGATCTTTTTTGTCGGCGGGCGCTTTGTCCCATCATCGAAGAGGAAAGACGCGGTCCACTGTCCTCCTCCTCATGCTCCTCGTCCCTCGTCCCTCGTCCTCCCCCACCGCCCCCTCCTGGGAACAAAAAACGGCACGAGCATACTTCGGAGGTCCGCGCGGATTTCTTGGATCTGCGTTCCCCCCCCCCCTCGTGGCGGCGTCTCAGGCGCGCCGCACCTGGCGCGCTCCGCGCGCCAGGGAGATGGGCCCGGCACAGATCCCAGAAATCCGCGCGGGGGCTGTCAAGAGTTGATGTTTCTGTGGTGTTCTCTTCAGCATCAGCAGCGGCTTTGGGGGGGGGGGCAGGGTGCCAGTCACGCCGCGAGTCGCGCCGCCTGGGAACGCTCAGGAATGGCTCATTTCCAGGCGGCGCCGGCGCGAAGGGTGACGTGACCAGGTGGGGGGGAGGCTTAAGGAGCCGTGGCCCTTGGGGCCCAAGGAGCCGTGGCCAGGCTCGGGCCCAGCGGTGCGAACGGCCCGATTCCAGCAGGGCCGCATGTCGACTGGTCTGGCACTGGAGGCCCATGCCAAGAAACACCCTGCTTGCCTCCAGGGTGCGCTGTTTCTTGGGTTTCGATGGTTTTGCCATGGACATCGTGGCGTTCCCACAACAAAAATCAGTGGATGTCCTGGGGTCTCAGGTTTGGTTTTCTTGTGGAAGGTTTCTTGTGGACTGGCCTCCACTGTACTATGGAAGGGCGTCTGCAAACCAGGTGGCATCATGTACGGGTCCGTGATGGGGCTCGCAGGGGGCGACCTCTCCAGTAGCGCTGCCTTCTGCTCAGTTCCAGTGAGCCTCTGGAGGCTTCTTCTGGTGGGCTCCACTTGCGGACGGTCCGCACTGCCTTCGGGGGGCTCTTCCCTTGGCAGGCCCCCGACCCCGACTCCAGAAGGAAGGCGTGCTTGGATCATCGCCGGCTCTGCCGAAAGGGGGGACGGGGGCCGCGGCCGGTCCCGAGCGTGAGGAGCGGGCTCCTGGCGCCAAGAGCGGGCGGTCTTGGTGGGGGCGACACAAGTTCGGCGGCGAGCCCCGGGGGGGGAAGTGAGAATGAGGGGGCCTTCTCTCGAAGAAAAGAAGCGGCATAAACATGAACTTTTGGCGCTCCGCGCGGAATTCATCAATCCGCGCTGGGAGCCCCCCCCTTGCCGCGCCTCTGGAGCCGCCATTGGCGCGCTCCGCGCGCAAGGGAGGGGGGTCCAGCGCAGATCCAAGAAGTCCGCGCGGAGCGCCAAAAGTTTATGCTTATGCCGTTTTCCTTTTTCTATTCTCAGAAGGTTCGGACGTCCCCCAGCTTTCTGACAAGTTTTCTGAGCCTTCTCCGAAGGCACAGAAAACTTCTCAGGAGGCCGGAGGGCCTCTCTGAGACGTCACGCCGCCTTCTGAGAAGGCCCTCTCCTTCTCCTTTCCCCCTTCTTCGCTCGCCGCCGGCAGAGAATCGTCAATTCCCAGGAACATGTGGAAGCTATGGGAAGTGGAAGTCACCGAGCGCGTTCCACTACTCGCGAAGTGCCTTCTCGCAAACGTCCGACAAAAAACACATGTCTGCATCGATGTAGTGTATCGTGAATCCCCCATGGCGGGTCCAGGCCATTCGCGAGTAGTGATCTTGCGACTGGTGGAAAGCGCTTGTCTGGGAAGGGAAGAGACGAGCATCCGGAGGCTCTGGAAGGTCTGGGGCATCCCGGGATTCGTACCCACTTGTCTGTGTCCCCTGGGGCCCCCTCCGCTTTGGACGGGTGATGCGACTGGTGGAAAGCGCTTGTCTGGGAAGGGAAGAGACGAGCATCCGGAGGCTCTGGAAGGTCTGGGGCATCCCGGGATTCGTGCCCACTTGTCTGTGTCCCCTGGGGCCCCCTCCGCTTTGGACGGGTGATGCGACTGGTGGAAAGCGCTTGTCTGGGAAGGGAAGAGACGAGCATCCGGAGGCTCTGGAAGGTCTGGGGCATCCCGGGATTCGTGCCCACTTGTCTGTGTCCCCTGGGGCCCCCTCCGCTTTGGACGGGTGATGCGGCAGGCGGGCGCCCCCTCGGCGCGGCGGCCGCGCGGGCGCGCGGGCGCGCCCCGGGAGGGGCGCCCGCCTCGGCGCCCCCCCCCGTGGGGATCCAGCAGGACGTCATCCACGGCGCGAGAGCCGCACGGAGGCCGCTCGGGGCCGAGCGGCTGCGGGGCCCGAAGATGTGCACGGGGAGGAAGATCCGCACGAGGATGAGGGAATGCGGCATCTCCTCCCTCCTCCTCCCCTCCTCCTCCTCCTCCTCCTCCTCCTCCTCCTCCTCCTCCTCCTCCTCCTCCTCCCCCTCCTCCCCCTCCTCCTCCCCCTCCTCCTCCTCCTCCTCCTCCTCCTCCTCCTCCCCCTCCTCCTCCTCCCACACCACCTCCCTCACCCCCTCCGCTCGTCCAGGGAAGCGGAGGGGAATGGCAGGGGGGAGGGGGATTGGAGGTGTTGGCAGTGTGCATCTTCTTGGGGCCCTCACCCCCTCCGCCCTCCCAGGGAAGCGGAGGGGAAGAGCTGGGCGGAGGAGGGAAGGGGACTGGAGGAGGTGGCGTTGTACATGAGTTGGCGCATTGGTTTCATCAGTGAGATACGTCAGTCTGCTTCGGCCCGCTTCAAGAGCTCTGCCATGAGTAGCTGCCATCCCGCCTCGCGTGCCGTAAAACGTCTTTGAGGCTGGCACCAGGGAGCCAATGCGCCTGGGGATGGCACGAAGTCTGGCAACTCCGCAGTGAGTTGAATCCTGGCCCACTCATCCTGCAGGGGGTGGAATTTACAGTACTCTTTCCTCGCCTTATCCCGCCGCCACCGCCATCATCAGATACTGCTGCTGGTCATCGGACGTACCGCAGCTATATAAGTTTGCAAATGCGTGGAAGAAAAGGGTGCGCGCGCCTCTGTCTTAACGCGAGTGTATCATCACACGTAAGTGCTCACCTTCGCTTAACGGACCTACCTTAGCCATGCCGAACTCAATGATCCAGCCTACTGAGGAGGTAAACCCACTGACGACAGTAGAACAAATAATCGCACCAATCACAATGTCAGACACTTCCATTACTCTGGCAACTCCCAGGTTTTGCCGTTTCCACATATTATCGCGCCACTCCTCCACCCGACCCGTTTCTATCTTATTCTTGCGTTTTCTTTTCTTTTTTGCGTGCGCCGTGGCGGCATCCAAGAAAGTCGGGGCTGATTCGAGGATTGCTGGACGGCCCTGACAGTTTGTAGCCGAGCCTTACTTGTCCACGCGGCTATTCTTTAGAAGCTTCTATCGTCGCGGCTCGAAGTGCAGATTCGACCGGCGTCTCGACAAGTGAAACATAGCATAACATGCCATGTTAGTTTCTGAACGTGCCAATATTATGTGCGCGTCGCCCTCCCCCCCCAGGGGCGCGCAACTAAATCTTATAGTGTGAGCTCCGTGGCGTGAGCCTTTCGGCCGTACCGCTCGGGAAACGATATACTACAGTATGGTCGTAGCATATGTTTGTGTCGGCCGCACGCCACCGAGGAGGACACATCGTACTATTGTGTCCTTGTGCCTCCCATGACGCTGTCATGGGCGTGTATGGCGGAGCCCTCGTCCAGAGCAACCGAGCCGCCAGATTCCCATCCTGAAGTTAAGATCATTCACTCGCCTCCGAAAATGCCAAGGATACGGAAATAGCGTCCAAGACACAGAAGCACTACATCCCCCTACAGGCGGACTTTGGACGAAAGAAACATTAAAAGCATTCCAAACATAGTCCAAGAATCGTCCCCAAACTATTTTCTGGAGTATTTTTGAATATTCCTTCTGTAGAAGGACATCCGAGACGCCTCCGAGACGGCCAAGACGGGAACGTAGCACTGCACTTCCAAGCGGAGCGAATTGGGGCGGCAGACCAGGAAGCCGGGAGGCAGCGGGCGCGCCCCCACGAATGAATGTCTAAAGCACGCCTGAAGTGTCGCCCTCCCCGATCGCCGTGTCTGCTCTTGCGGACGCCCTTGGCACTCGAAGGGGGAGAACGACAGACATATGAACGTTCGACGCTCATCGCGGATGTTTTGGAGTCGCGCTGGGCCCCCCTGGCCTCGCCTCCAGCGTCGCCAGGGACGGCGGTCCAGCTCAGATCCAAGAACTCCGCGCGGACCGTCAACGGTTTATGTTTGTGCCGCGTTTTGCTCCACTAGACATGGGGGTCGTCGACGCGGCTTCGCGGAGCTGGGGAGTGTGGCAACCGTGCGGGAGCTCCTCCGATGGGTTGATTGCTTCACGTTGTTCAGAACATAATGGGTTCCCCTCCCTGGCGCTGCATCGAAAAAGGCCACTTCGGAGACTCCCAGGGGGCCTGCCAGGCCAATGCTCCAGCTTCCCCGCAGGAGTGAGGAGGGGCCAGGAAGAGGAGGATAGGATCGGGCTGGTGTAGCAGGGCTTCCTATCATTGCAGCGAGCGGGCCGCTTCTACGCTCGAAGCGTAGGGTGTTCTAGCCTTTTGGTAAACCACCCCCAGTTGTTTCTCTTGTCCTTCATGAGGTGGAAGTGGGGCAGGGTGGATGCACGAACGCTTGGACGAGTTGCGCGGTGCCCTCGCCCCCTGGCGGCACTGGCGGAAGAGCGTGAGTTTCTGAAATCCGAGCGTTTCCACGCCTTTCCAGCCAGGCCCCCGCCTTACTCAGAGTCATATGTGGACGTTCGGCCTTTGCGACCAACGGACCCAGAATGGATGTCAAATCTCTTGGTATGGAAACGGTTTTCGACTCCAGGATGCAGTGAACGACGTTTTCAAATGGTGCCAAGCTTCGCGCCATGTGGAGTCGCCAATTTCAAGTGCCTTTATACGTGCACACCCACGGGCTACCACAGCCTACGGCGCGACTCCTCGAGTCGAATCGACAGGGAATGCACGATCAACAAGAGCAGCAGGGTCTGGGTAGGCTGCATACGTGTTTCAGCTT